TGAACACCGAGCAAAGGGGAAAGAGGCAGGATACTGCTTACGTGTAGCTGGTTTTACGTATAGATATTGTCTCGCATTGATTATCAGGAGGTAATTCGGAGTCATGCAGATAACCACACATGCTCATTGTGACGCGTTATGCTCTCACCATTAGCCGTTGCGACAACATCATTGAAGGCCCGACGGATTCTTCTTAGATACATTTGGCCAAAAGATTTATGCTGACTCTGCCTTTACGTTCATTTATTATATTTATTATTTCTTAAGCATCAATTACATTGTCATCATCTGGGTACAATGGCGACTTCCTCCCTCTCTGTGCGCATCCACTCCATCCGCTGCTGCCAAAGAGCTGCGTCACAGCCGCTCGGAACCCGGCGGGCCGACCGCCTCATGAAACATACATTGCCCGGCGGCGCGGCGGGCGCGGCGACCCCTCCCCTCCCACTCCGGGGGGCGATGAAGGAGCGGTCAGCCACGTCAGCATCGGTGATCAGCCCCGCTGCACCCCCGGACGGCGGACAGCCCCGAGACCGGCGGTGACGAAGCGTCACGGGTGTCGTCGCGACCATCGTCAATGCCAAAGTCACGGGTGTTATCACGAATGTCATCGCGGCTGATATGGTCATGGATGTCGTCACTATTGTCATTACTATGCACTTACTTTTGTCACCGCTTTTGTCACGGTTGAGTCATGAATGTTAGCATGTTCGCATCACGAAGTTCATCACAACGCGCTGTTAGGTCTGTAGTCACGGTTGTTATCACTATGTTATCATCTCCGTTCTCACTTATCATTCACTGTTTTCGCTGATATCTCCACGTGCTTATAGCACCTCCCCAGCCGAAGGGGTGGATGAGTGAAATAAAGACGGCATCGAATTCTTTCATCGTCGTCTCTCTGAGATGGACTGGGGAGGCGGCGAGGGACGCTCGGAGCAGCACAGCATCCCTCACAAAAACGGCCCAGCCGAGACGGACCGCCAGGCCGACGAAGGCAGTTAATGAGACCCGTGTTGTAATTCAGCCAAACCCAGATGAGCGAGCCGCAAATAACCCCGAAACGAAAACAAATCTCAAGACGCTCAAAGAGCGGCTGCCTCCGAGCAATTTAGTTATAGCCGTTATTCAAACGGAGATTAGAGACTGAAGGGCAACTTAATGATTATGACGTTTAGTATTTATCGAAAAATGATCATTATTGCAGCAATCGTAATTCGGTTAATTATAAGAACGTCTCACAGTGAATAACAAACAAAACAGATAATTTCCCTCTACCACACCTTTCCTTGCGTGGGTAGCTATCGGCAACCATTTGGACGGACTTTCACTCTTCCAGTTATCACTGATGGACGTTGTTGGCAGTGCAACTCTTTTTCAATCATATTGGCTTCAAATCATCGAAGGACGAGGCAATGGCTCGTTGACGGAGATAACAAAGTGCGTTGTTTTCTATTTTCGTGTTCCAAGAAATGAGGTCATCAGTTCAGTGCAGCGACACAGAATTACATCATAATCGTCGGAACATATTTGGTATGTCCAGTCGCTATAAACTGAAGCTTTAATTCTGATATAAGTAAGCAGCTGATGTCGTGATCGCGGGCACCGCGCACAGCAGGCACTCAGCGGTCTTATAAAATCGTTCATAGATGACGCTGCCATCAGGCGCCTGCCGGTATGCTGCGCCGCAAAGCAGCTGATGGTGTTCGACTTGTCTCGGATTGCATATTTGATAACAACAGGGTTGAATGTTTAGGAATGATTTAGATGTAATGGTATGCTATATGATGAAAGTGAATAAGGCAGCTGATTATTTTGTTAGTTTGGCAGATATATCCAGGGGCTCCGCCACAGGGGGGTACGCGGGGGTCCGGACCCCCTCAATAATTCCCATGGGGGGCACAGTACCCCCCAATATTCCGAAAACCCGTGACCTTGTTTTGCGTTAGAATGACTAAATCATTCACAGAATGTGTTGAATAATTTAATTAGAATGTGTTGATGGTCGCAAAGCTAAGGCATTTAAGATCTAGAAATGTAGGGAAACACGAAGATGTTGTGACACACGAAGTGCTCAACAATCGCCGACCTATATTTATGGGAGTGTCATTATTCTACCATTTTGTTATTACTATAAATGCGTTTAAGATTGCTAGGATTAACTTAGCATGCTAGAATTTGGCAATAATTTCGTGAGAGGGGTCCAGCTTGCAGGACACCTCCTAGACACAACACCCGCCCCAAAAGAGCTTCAAATCGATCTGAGAACCCTCTTTCCATGATCACCCGATAGTGTGTGTGGGGGGGGGAGGGGTAAGCCGGTCTTTCGAGCACCATACTAGTCTGAGAGCCTAATGCGCTGTCTGATGGCTAACACCGCCCTTGGAGCGCGCAACAGCGGCCTCCTTTCCTTCAGAACGTTGATTTGAGAGGCCGCCATGTCGGTGTCATTGAGCTCCGCTTCTCGGTTTTCGACTCCTCTTGCAAACTGAACCTTGTTTTTTTTTCGGTTCATAAAGCAAAATCCTCCCGATAGAATTGTTAAGTTTCCTTTGAACTCTAGAAAAAACGGCAATTTTTCATCGATTTCGGGAGCTGCAGGGGGTGGGGTGGGGGTGGGGGGTAGGGGTGGGGGTGAATTAGCCCAAAATGCCCACCTTGGATCCGCCAGCGAGGTTTTGTGTTTTTGGTCGGACCCCCCCAATCCCAAAACCGTGGCGGAGCCCCTGGATATATCAGTTGAATTATAAAGTGTATTGAAGCGCCGAATACGACTACACATGTCTCGTTCCACGCGCTTAGCCTATCACCAAAACTCGCGTTGAATTATTCAGCACAATGAAGATGCGATGCAATCGGGCTCTGTCAGAACGAGGCACATTGCAATGTCCGACTGCGACATAGGACGTCCTTGATTTTCAGATCCGGTGTCAGCCGCCCTCGTAAATAGCTCCTCCATTACCATCAACCTATCGACTCCTGTTTGGACTGAAAAGCAAATAATCTGCCACTGACCGACCTGTTTCACGATTATTTCTTATGTTTATAAACATAAACAGACATCTTTGATATCCACTCTTGTTGACATTTAAATTGTCACCAATAAATGCGCGTAAAATTTACCAACTTACCCACCAAATCCCCAACACGTCCCTTACAAATAGCGCACTCGCTCTTGAGCCCCTTGTCTGTCGTCACCCACCACCGTATTTTGCCAGGCACCCACCCTTTTCCTCCCAAACCCCACTCCCCACCTACCACCGACCTCGCAGCATTAGCGAGACGTGTCACAGGAAACCGGAAACGGCCGGACTGACCGTCTCGTAACAAGGTCGAGTCCCACCCCTCCCCCCCCCCCACACACACACACGCATGGCGATATACATAATACAGCGCGACTGCGCTGCGTTGATCGATCTCCGGGAGGGGAAGGGCAGTGTCCGCGAGGCACCGCACAGAGAGGGCGGGGTAGGAGGGTAGTGACGGATTCAGTGGGCAGTGGGCACGCCAGAGTGTGTGCTCAAGTCAGCGTGCTTGACAGAGTCGATGTGAGGTGATAAGGTGAGCTGAGAGACGCGGGTGTTAACCCTCGCCGGCACAGGCCATTTTGCGTCCTTCGACGGCACAAGGGGGGGGGGGGGTTGGTACGACCCCCCCCTCGCGTTTGGCCCCTGATCGAGCTAGAGCTTCGCGGAAAAAACGAGCGTGTTGCCCGTCACGAGAGGAAGCCGATGCTACCCAATTTTAAGGTCCTAGGTCATCGGGTGACCTTCCAGGTCAGGTCAATGACCCGAAAACCGAGAAAATCGGGACCTGTTAGAAAGTCGTAAAGTGTGGCTATTATGTGGTTTTCCGGGGTGCTGATCACGAATATCGTGTTAGTTTTGATCAGAAATGATGTCTTGAAGCATTTAGACCAGGTCGGGTCAGGTCAGGTCAGGTCAACCGGTAGGGGTTGTGACGGGTATTCGTAATACGTGTCAACCGCCTCTGACAGCTTCATAACATGTTACGAAGGCACCAAAACTACTTCGTAAACGTTCAAATGGTTGCTAAATTCGAATTCAGCTCCAAAAACTAGCCTGGAAACATGTAAAACTCGAAAAAGTGAACTGAGGTCACCCGAGGTCACCAAAGGTCAATGACCTGACCTGACCTTCAGGTGACCTTGACACCCACCCTAATGTATGGGAGCAACATCATATCACATGTTTGAACGTTTAAAACCACGAAAAGCTTGCAAACGCGCGGCTAATGCGAGCCGACATACGCCGAATCGCGATTCCGGCCAAACATGGTCTCGGAAAAGAGGTCACAGGTCAAAGGTCATTTGGGTCAGGGTCATGAACTTTTCAGGGTAGGTGTAAAATTGATCAATGCGAGGGTACTGAAAGTTTCGTCGCGATCGGCCGCTTTTTACGCGAGTTATTCGCGAAAAACCTTAGGGGGGTTGCATCAACCCCCCCCCCCCCCCTGTGCCGGCGAGGGTTAATGAAAAAACTTACTTGTAAAAACACCACAAGATAATTAGCTAATCTGTTTATGGGGTGTCATTGCTGTTTGAGAGAAACCATATCGCGAGCAAAATCAAAGTCAAATGTTCACACTAAACTTATACTACGCTCTCCCCGTACCGAACCAAGGTGAAATCTTCCTACACTACAGAGTTGCACCTAATCGTTCGAAGCTTGCAGCAAATAATCGATTTCAAACACGACCATAGACCACTGTATACAGCTATACCGGAACAGAGGTCTATTTACCGGTATACAGAGGTCTAAGTCACGACGTACTCCATTCGAGCAGATTATGGTAATGACAAGGCGTTAAACACACGATCATTAAAATGTTCTTCACATACCATGCAATGCATACGAGTATTCCTTGTTGTATCCCCTTGCCGCTTTTTCACCCATGTTCCCGGCATGCAGTCCTTCCTTCCCATTTCCCATCCCTTCCGTTGCCCTGTTCCGCCCCCGGTCGTCGTTCCGGGCACTCACCGTCCTTTTTATAGAGCAGCGTCTCAACCTGCGCCTCCTCTCCAGTGCTGAACGCCTCTTGGATATGTTCCACCTGCCAGTAGAGAGCAAATATACAAGCCGTCTATCTCGTGCCAGCCTGGCCGGAGCCGGCTCTGAACCTGGATAGACTCAGCCTCACACCAGCCGGCCACGTCCAGAGCGTTTTCAATGAAAGGGTCGGACAGGAACCAAAGTCGGTCCGTAGACACCAGAAAATGGTATAGATCCGCGACAGAGAAAGGGTGTGGCGGGTCAGTTTGAGTCCAAACTTCGTGATTACCTGTGTAGAGAAGTGTAAATGTGTTTTAGTGAGACGCATTCTCTTAGTGCCCATTTTATTCGCGACCCGAAGTGGTCAGATTGGAAACAGTGGGATATCCCAAAAAAAGGCTAGACCAGGTAATGCTAGCCAGCCTGCCCCGACTCAGTGCAGACACAACAAAAAAAGAAGCATGTTCAGCTCTTACGACATAAAGTGGCTGGTTGCCAACATTAGCCACAATAATCGATGATTATTGATAAATACGTCTAGCGGCCGTCGACAACCATCGCCGAAGTTTCCGCGCAAAATCTCGTTTTATTGCTATTGAGTCAATTTGCTGAATTGTCTGTATCAAAGTTTTTTTCCAAAACACATTCACTGACCAACCAGTAACCACTAAATACCGTGAGAGCTGTACATATTTGATTCTTCACTCAGTTTGTGCGGCAAGGAAATACTAAATTATACCTATGCACAGCATGATTGTTAGGTCCCGATTCACGAACAGCAGTATCGTAATATCGTATCACAATTGTTACCATTATTACCAGCTTATTAGATATGTGCACCTGAAACGCTCACGCTTCTGTATAGCGTCTATAATAGTTCCACTCATTTTAAAGTCAGCCTTCATTTGGGCTGCAGGTCAACCAATTACTCAAGAAGAGCGGTAAATCCTGAAGATCCAGTGAGACAGGCTGCTTTATGAGCTGTTTCAACTTAGCTGGTCACAAGTACCTGAGACTTAGTCTGATTAACCCCCGTGAAAATTGCATGCTTAAGCGCCCTAAAGTTGTCTAAAATTGTGGCACAAGTTTAGCAAACAGTGTTGAAACAAGTTTCAATTTGTACGCATTTTCGCAGTGTTTGCAGAGTTCATGTCTTAAATCTACGAGGCTGAGCAATTTCCATGGAATTGCTAATGAAAGTGCATGCTTTTTCATTGCGCAACTGGCGAAATATACGATTTATATCACTAAATGGCTATCGGCTATCGCTTATGACAATTCATCAATCTTATGTCATCCATCTCCCAGAACGTATCACAGGCCACTTGCTTTTGACACGGAAAATGGATCTGCCGAATAAAATCATATTCTGGCCTAGACAATCGTCTTCACCACATCACTCAAGTCAAAGGTCAATGGCCCCACAGCTGAGTCACATCAGAGACATGATTCATGGGACGTGCAGAAGTTGGCTGGCCACCATGAGCGACCACCGTCACGGAACAAACAGCCACTGGAGTATTGCAAACCCCCTCCCCCACCACCCCAACCCCTCCCAACCGCTACAGTGAGCCCCCAGCGCCTGGCAGCCCGGCCGGCCGCGACTGTCAGGGCCGGAGTCGCGTGTTGACTAATTAATCAGTCATAAATCATGGTGGAGAATTCCCCATCAGATACGCCTTCACGCCATCGCTCATAGACAGCCGGCGGCGTGTAGACCGCTAATGAAAAGCATTGATCTTTAATCGATTTGGCATGCATTGTCACACGAGTATTTTGACATGCCCAATGAGACATTGTAGGCTTGTACCGTCCCTCTATGACCAATTCAAATTTGCCAATCGTTCGACATAACCACTCGTTTAAAACATCAGAAAATATCGATTTCCCAAATTATCTCCTTGCAATTATGAACGTTGCCGTTTCAACCACATGGCTTAGTCAGAAGTCAAACCGATCCATCTCGAGGCAACGTTAAAGGAAAAGTAATTTAAAACATTTCTCACCTGAACCTACGGCCTAGATTACCGAACTTTTTTTTAATCGTCTGTAATTTTTCCAACAAAAACTCGTCTTACATAATTTTGTCTTCCTTCTCTCAGCTATCCACATTCCATCCTCCTATGGAAGAGGAAGGGAAAGCTGAGACAAAAAACATTTTGGAACACACTCAGTACAGTTTGTGTGAGTGTAGGCTGGTGAGTGCTGTGTATACCGACAGCTCCGGTGAGTCGCGCCTGACACTCATCACCACTACAGGCACGTTCCGTGCCGCCGTCCGTATTCACCCACGGATAGGTCACCGGGGATGAACGCTGTCCGTTTCCCGATCGCTCAGTAATATCGCAACGAATAAGTCAGCTCAAATTCAAAAAATTCATTCACTGAGCTAAGTTCGCTGGGAAAGGTAAATACGAATGCGAATGAGGTACAGCTCAGTAGATTGCGACCGATAGTTTGTCTTACGCATTTTCTGAGCAAATGAAACACAATCAAATAACCGTTTCCATTCCTTGTGTCACCAGCTTACCCCACGGGTGTCACCTCAACCGCTCCTGTTCCGGGATTCATTTATCGCTATCACCCGGGGTGTTACTTTCTGTTCGTCTCGAGCGCCCGTACCAGTCTGAGAGCACTCTGGGCTGATGAGTGCCGCGGAGTTTTGCCACCGAGCCGTCCGAAGCAGCACTCGGCGACGACAAACTCGACTCTTGTGGCCACGGACAGTGTGCAAGAGATCGATAGGCGGGTCGCACTTAGAAACTTTGGTCTACTCCAGGCGAGATTAGCTAGATCTTTGAAAGCGACGACGTTTCCCATGCGGCACATTTCAATCCAATCTTTGCGTTTGACTTTTTAAAAGGAAGTGAACGGGCTTCGCTTCTGAGATGCCGGAGTATCTCCAAAGGTTGGCTGTGGAATTACCTTGGCATGAACCCAAGCCACGGGTCGTCAGCTGTGCAGACGAATCGTGTCAGCCGCGAGCGAAATCAGTCATAATGGCTGTCAATTAGACGAACTGAGCTATTGGATAGGGACAGCAATGCAAGCCTATACGGCAGCTCTTATCTCCCCATAGTGCATTGTTCCTAAGGCCGAAACTCGGACGCTAGTTTGATGATATAATAAAGTGCCCTCTTAGTGCTTTTTTATGTTCTGAAATTTTAGAGCTAAAGGGTAACAGCTGAGCCATGTGGAATACATATACTGACTGCATAGTGATGGGATCATGCGTGAAGGTATTTCACACTAGGTTGTAAATATGCCGTAAAATATCGGCGTTTGACGCCGTCTTTCTTTGGGCTGCTAAGTCGATCAGGATTTTCTCTTTAATCTCCGGCAGGGTCCATAAAACTGTTACCTACATTAAGGACTATCGATGCAAGCAAGCAAAAGTGCATAATGCATTCACATATCTTCTGAAAACAACGCATCACGCGGGCCATAATGCCTGCCCCTAGCCTAGCATCCTAGCCTCATAAGTCTTGTGAAGTTTGGCTCTGAGACAAACAACCTCCCTCAACACGACAACTGCACAAATGAAGACTGAGTTTCAAAGACACCGCAATCTGAAGGAAGCTTAGCAGCGAGCTTTTAATCTAAAACCCAGATGGTTTGGCATTTTAAAACAACCTTCTGAAACTACTCCCTGCATATTTTTTCCAGGTTTCATAACAGTTCTTCAGGCTGCACCAACCAAACTTTCTGACATTAGAGTAAATTGCCAGAGTCGTGGATTCAAACTCAATGCTTTGTCAGCTATTTCAACATCTATGTTAATTATATCACAAACATAGATAATTACACAAATTTGTCTTAGAAATAAGCATCGGTCCCAGGGCCAATCACCATGGCGTACAATGAATTATCCTACAAAATGACTATTTCACTTTTCTGAAATGTTTTTATTCTGGGCCATCACAAGTTATATTACGAACCGTCAGGGTGCATCCACCGGTAGCAGGTATGAACTAGCTAACGGAATTTTGGAAAGACAACATACGAGTATAACTTATTATTGGTTATTATTGGTAAACTCATAATGATATAAATGCAATAATGAGAGACAGTGCATACACAAAATGCAAATAATTATGCGTTTTTACTTTGCCAGACGTAGACGATAGAGAAACATAAATTGGCATCAGGTCAAGACCAAGAAGACGAAAAACCGCTGAGGAAAAGTCAGACCGTTAACGTCTGCCAACATTAGCCGCGTGTTGACCATTATTTGTTCTGTAGTATTTGAACGGCTCAACCACAAAATGGCATCGCCAAGACAGACGTAAAAGATTCTGAAAGATTAGGAAGTTCTGACTTGAATCCTACTCACATCCTCGTGCCCGCTTTAGGTGACTTTGCTTGCTTAATTTTCACGTCTTTGATGCACTCTTTCGTTTATGATAATTTAAACTTCTTCCTGCGGTATAACCCGCGCCCTGATGGAGGGGGGCCATTTTGCCCCCCCTGTGGTTTTTCTTGAATAGCGAGAAAACAACGGCGCGCAGCGCCGCCAAATTTTGGGTACTTTACCGGGCATCAATTTGACACCTTCACACAAAATTTCAAGTCACAGGTCACCTCAGGTCAGGAGTTATTGAGGTCAAACTGAGGTCATGTTCGAGTAAAAATGAGCAAAAAACATGACATCTTAAAACGCTCACTAATTCTACAGTTAACAAGCAATTTTAAAGTTCTTTATGTGGTTGTGTTGAGAAAAGACGGCGCTACTAAACTGCAATCTCGGATTTTCGAAATTTTGGGATTTTGACCCCCTAAAATAAATAAAAAATGATTTTTTTAGGAAAACTAAAAAAAATCCAATTTTTTTCGAATTTCGAAAAAACCGGAATATATGTGATAGTCCCTGCGCTCTTTGATATACATACCAAATTTTAGATCGATACCTCTTTTTTTGGCCAAGTTATAGCGAAAAAAAACTGTTAAAAATTGATGACGTCAAATTTTTTAACTCCATTTTTAGCAATTCTAGACCTCGTAGCGCAAAACGGAGACCACCATTGAACTCCCTGTGACGAGCTGCATCGAATCAATACCCATTTTATGCAAAAATATCAACTTTGAAATTTGACCTAATTTGACCTGACCTTGACCTGACCTTGACCTGACCTTGACCAAAACGTGACCTAAGCTGGCCCTTAAGTCTGCCTGACCCACATAATCGCATTTGTCATGTAAAATGGACCATAAAACATGTATCACACGACACTTTCATATTGTGACCACCCAGTGACCTGCTGTGACCTGACCTGGTATCAGTGACCTCAAATAGCAAAATATGTGTTTGAAGAACATTTCCCCATCGATGATTTTCAATGAAATGCATTTTACTCGATTTTACAACGCATTTCTTGAAATGCCTGTAAACGGTGAAAAGTCAACCTTTGACCTGACCTGTGACGTCATCGGTTTGACCGAGGTCAATGACATTGGGTCACAAGGTAGTTCCCCGTTGGGGCTATCCAACGCCGTTTACCGCTTGTCGCTATGTTGCGTGGTTCTCGAGATCTTAGGGGGGGGGCAAAATGCCCCCCCCCCCATCAGACCGCATTGCTCGGCAGACCCCATCAGGGCGCGGGTTAAAAAGATTACCATCAATTATTAACCATTCGATTTACTTTCATTCATGAACACCTCTCCGCTCACAGCTATTATGCCATGTGGCAGGTCACTATAGTCACATCCACAAGGTCACGTGACAGGTCACTGCTCACAACCACCAGGTCACGTGACCTGTCACTCACTATCGCCACCAGGTCACGTGACCGGTCACTCACCGCCGCCTGTGATGTCATAGGTCCGTGCAGGAAGAGGCAGAGGCCACCCTGCTGCATCACCTCTGCTCGGCTAAAGCCGGTCATCTTGCTGAAGCCCTCGTTGGCATAGATGACGGTGCGGTCCTCGACGTTGTTCACCACTAGGAACGCCCGATCTGCGGGTCAAACAGCAGGGAACAGAGGTCAGGTCAAGCGGCCAAAATGTGCCCAGTATGCATACAGGGTATAACGAACAGCTTTCGAGTTAAGTGGACATCAGTGTAATGTTTTGATGACATGTTTATTAAATGATTCATGATGTGATTAAACGTTTGGTTATTTAGTTGATTACGAATGATATGCAATTGTGTGATCGTAACTCAGCGCATTATTCTGTAATCCGTCGTCATTTAATACCGTTCCATAATTTGATAAGACAATTAGTCTTCGGGGCCATCCCGGCAGCTTAGTTACGGCTGTGTTTAGTCATTTATCACTGCCGCTGATGAGGGGGTAATTACAGGCGTCACTGTCGGGATCCCCGGGGACGCCAGATCGCCGAGGAAAACCCGATTGCGACAATCACGTAACGAATAAGTCGATTTAAGTAGGGAACTGACGAGCTAAATGAATAGGCAACTGTAACTGTTTAATATCTAGTTGTACCAGTAAAACGATAGAGATTTTCATTCATTTTAAAATTTCTGAGCTTGCTCTTGTTACTTTTTTCTCAGCTCAATATGCATTGGTGTGCTCGAAATTTATTTGTTAAAACATATTGTTTTTTACAGTGATTACAGTGTTTGGCTAACCATTCAGGAGTGAAATTTCTTTTTCGATGTTAATCGTTTACCCATCAACTTTTAGTTTCATATAAGCACATCGAGCGCAGTGGTATTTTGTACATTTGTTTCCATTGTGTTTATAATTTCCTTAAGATATCGATTCAGTCTACAGTCCGAGCAAGATTGGACGCCTCTTGGAGCAAAGCGCCGCCATCCATCCCAGTACAGTCACCATGAATCTGCTTTATTGCATTCTGCTCTAACGCCAATGAATAAGGACCAACTGGCTCACGATTAACCTTTACAAAGATCTGCGCATGGAAAAGAAGTTATTCATATTCACCTGCTAATTGGGCTATCATCTGGAAAATATATCTGAGCAGCATGAGAACAAAATTCAATAAAACCTCACAGATTCACAGACGCATTACGCGCCGCGCTCCGTAACGTACTGCATGCCAATGCACTACACGTGAAACTCAAACGACTAATTAGGATGAGAGATATGCTATCGAGTATCGAGGGTAAAAAAAAACAGCACAAATGAGCACTTGGCAGATCAATGAACTGTTTGTTCCATGGAAGCAAACAAGTCTCACAGTTAAAGGAAAACAAATTATCCCGAACATGCAAGTCAAAGTAGTTACCTATAGCTGAACTGCAGATTAAAGGGACTATCCCACCTTTAACATGGGGTTTGAGTTGAGATAGCCAAGTTCGCGGCGAGGTTCAGAAACCACTATCTATCTAGGTTGCAACCCCCGCGGCCTCTTGGTGTTGAAGAAATTCGTTCCCTTCATTTGAAAATGGGCCTTGTACATACAAGGCCCTATCTTCAACATGGAGCGACCGTTAGTGTGACGTCACCTCGTTTAGTCATTCTGATTTAAAGGGACTGTATCATCGAAAAAAAATCAATGTATGGAGCTGATTTTTTTTTTACTAGCATTTCTTATTTTTCTGAATCAGAAAAACATAGTTTGAGGACCGAACTTGGTGAAAAATATTGCAACCACATTTCATTTTCATGATTCATTTTCATGAGCGAACCACCACTGTACAAGCATGGCCGCCAGTTTGGAAGCATGCAAAATTACTACAGAACTGGCGCAGATAATACATTATTGACGCTACGCTTACGCGGTCGTTCTTCTGATTGAGTTGCCCTTAGGGAGAGGTAGCCTTAGGTATTGCCTATAAAAATATCACGTGACAATTGGAGGGAGTGACAATTGGACGTGACAATTGACAATGGGATAAAATATCACGTGACAATCACGTGATAAACGTCATACATTGGAGGGAGATTGTGATTCAAGCTGGAGGAATTCCTTTGTTGAGCCGCTAGAATCCGAAGGAAACAGCGGAAATTGCCTACGACTATTTAATGAATTTAACGGTGATGAATAAGTGCGAAAAACGTTTTGGCTTTATAAAATTTGATGAAATGACCAGGGTAAAAGTTTTATTACTGGCGGTCAATTCAAAACGGCGCAAACAATTAAACAGTGAAGATAGTGAAGCACGATTCAAAGTGTAGTACACCTTTCGTACTTTGAGCGGCGATAGCGGGATAACGGTGTGGAGCTTCGAGGATCGGTCTTCAGTTCCCGGACCAGAAAGGTGGGGCCTATGCAATGTCAAATTTCATCAAAATGGTGATACTGTCCCTTTAAATGGGTTTGTTCGTTGAAAAATCGCTTAAAACTTGGTCTGAACTTTGTTGTGGTGCCTACAGAGTAAAAAGAATCAGCTTTATGACAGTAATGTGGCCTGGGGAATGAGGTAATTTTGGGCTGTGACGTCACATATTTGAAAGTTTGTGTTTGGAATATGGGAAGCCTAAGATGTTTAATGAAAAATAAATGCCAGAACCGTGTTCCTGGTCATCCAATCTATAAAGTCGGGCACAATTTAACTGGTTTTAACAACATTTTAGAAGGTGGGATAGTCCCTTTAACCTCGATGCCTCGATACAGAAGCGTTTAGCTTCTAACCGAAAACTACACTACATTGTCTTAGGTCAGTCAGTTGTTCCTATTGGCTGTTTCCAAGAATGGTTTTCTTCATCTGCATTCTTCTCTCGATGCCACAAATTAGCTGGAGAATCTAAATCTCCTCGATGTTGCGCATGACAGCGCCAACGTTGCGCTGTCCTGTCCTGTCCGTCTGGCTGTCACGCCTGTCCTGACACCGTGGTGGTCCCAGGTGGCGCCGGTGCACCATGTCGCAGTAATTCAACCAGCCATCGACCGTGTCGACCCGCCCAGTCATTCAAACAGAGACTTGTCACGGTGACAGATTCCTGGAATGTACCGGTGACATTCCAAACAGCGCCCTCTTAACCTTGAAAGCTGTGGTGAGAAGCGTGGTAAGCTACATATCTTACCACTCAGACGTCCGACTCAGCAAAGCAACAGTCGCAGATCGGTGGCTCAATGCGGCCTCTCAGCTGGAAGGCGTCACCCATGAGCCGGCACCACGGCCGTTCGTAAGCCGCCCCTGAACTGTCCCTAAACATAGCCGATCGACCGCATGGCGCCGGCGGCGGCCGACCGGTCCGACCCGCGACCCCGTCCGGCGCCACCCCGCCTCCGACGGTCTGCCCGCACACCAATTGGACCCATCAGCCATGCATGAGGGAATGTCGGTAGCGGCGATTGGTCGTAACATCAGTGGCGCGTGCGGCGCTCCACCGGCCGGAGCGGGGCGGAGCAGTGATATGTCTCCCGGCTGGGTCAGTCCGCCGGCAGCGGCGGCGGAGCCCCCCGCCGGTCACCGGCAGGGGTCCGACCGACACTTCTGAGGGAGAATGACCCCTCCCGCTGGGCCGTGTTTAACGTCGCACTGCGCTGGAGTGTAGCAGCACGAGCGACGCGCTGTCTGATGGGAGTGGCAGACAATTTGTATCCGACGCACAGTGCGGCCGTCAGCCATCATTGCAGACCGACTCCAATCGTGCATATCGACAGTCGGCCCTGCCTAACGGGAGCGACATTGAGCAGTCCTCCATCCGGACACGCCTCAGCTCTCATGATCGCCATCGCGAATGGCCATATGCGCATATCCGGCTTGAACGCTTGATGGAGCGAGTAAGACGTTCTGGGACTGCCTGACGCATCCTATCGATAACGCAGTATATCATAATAAGTGTTTTTCGTCTATTCGGATAGAGCTCCACAGGAACCGAATCTTCCATCACAATATTTCAACCGAAATGGTTTGATGTTACAGATGAAAGAGATGCCAAGAAAAGTTGTTTCCAATATGGTAGGTGGTGGAAATGTTTTGCATTGGAGGTCTGTACCGGTGCAGAGCCTTTCACTTTTACCATTTTCAAGATGACATTAACTGCAAAACAAGATATCGTAATGACTTATTTCAATGGAGATATTATGGGTGGTTGACATGCGATAAAACATACCTTCCTTCAGACAGCAGCGGGAGAGGTAAGTTTCTCTATAAAATACTAGTAAGCACTGTGTACACTGTATAGCTGTGAAAAGGAGGCAAGCGATCATGAGCTAAGGGAATTCTAAGCTTAAACATAATATTAAAAAATGAGCACAGTTATATGAAATAAAAAGAAGTGCCGGAGCCCGAGTCAAATAAAAGACAAAATTTATTTCAGCCACACATTGTTAAAAAATAATGAAATTAAAATTTTAGCGTCTTCATCTCCGCTCATCAGACATGGAAATACGAGCGCTTTCGGGGCGCTCCGGACCCATAGCAAAGCTCTAAACATAGTGCAGACGTCGAGCGGCGTTTGTTATTACGGAACTAAAAATATCCAACCGTCATTCAGTTACGAGTGGGACATTATTCGCGTCACTGGCCACCCCCGAAAGATTTCCCGAACTGACCCGATACGGGGCTAGATGTAGAAAAATATTTGCCACTGACGTCATCTAGTCATATTGCATCTCTCAAATGATACAGGTTCAACGAGAGGAGGAGCCTCAAATTTCACCGACAATCCATGTGAAGAAATTCCTTGACTGATATGGACAAGTTTCAAAAGGCATTGGGAAACGCCGCATGCCAAGCATATTCATTCCTTGCAAGTCAACAAAAGAGACTGTAAAGTACAGGGTCATATTACAGAAAAATGGAGCGCATAAGAACAATTCTTGGTGTATCTGTTTTTGGCAGCGTGTGAAGTAGTCCATCACAAATTCCCGTCATATGGGTGCCAAGGGCTGATAAATATTTAACACGTCCCCCTACTAAACCACATTTGCATGCGACATTTAGACTTCGCTCAAACTGAGGCTCTGTCCTGTCAGACAGTTGGTATTTTTACCAGACAGCTTGGTATTTTTACCCCTACAGCTGGCTGTTCCGCCCAAACTAATCCAACCTTGGGTCGTTCGCTGGCTCAAGTCATT